GCCGGAGCCGCAGGCGCCCAGCTGCGTCTACATCCACCCCGACTCGCCCAACTTCGGCGCCCACTGGATGAAGGCGCCCGTCTCCTTCAGCAAAGTCAAACTCACCAACAAGCTCAACGGCGGCGGACAGGTAAAGCACCGGGACCGGGACCGGGACCGGGACCGGGACCGGGCCGCCCTGGCCCCGCTCAGCAGGGCTGGCCCGAGCCGGCCACCGCTCACGCCCTCCTTAATCCCCTTTTTTATATTGCTCTTATCAAACGTGCTGGGGTGGGGTGGGTCGTGCTTGTCCCCGTCGTGTTCCTCACCCCCACCCCCCAGCTGCATTCTTCCAGCAGAAGAGGTCTTTTGGCCGAGGATGGGTGCCCTGATGTTTTAACTTTTTTCTTTTTTCCCTAAAAAATGTCTTTCTGGTCTGAATATCCCATAATGCAAGCAGTGTAGTCAATGCATCTTTCTGGTTGCTTATGGCCACACGTTTGTGTCTGTGCAAGCTGCCCTGTCAAGTAGTGGGGATGAGGATAACAAAACAAAGTTGGGGTGTCTGCCTGCAGCTTGCTGTTCCTTTTCTTACAGCTTCAGTTTTCGGTTTTCTTCATACCTGTTGCCTCTTTCTCCTCTGCTGGCAAGATGGATCATTAGTTACTTTAAAACCCGAGTGCTTTCTGTGCCCGCCAGCGTCTGCCGCCACTCTGTCACCGCTTACCTGCTCTCTCCGTTTCCTCACAGATCATGTTGAACTCTCTGCACAAGTACGAGCCAAGGATTCATATAGTGCGAGTGGGTGGCCCGCAGCGGATGATCACCAGCCATTCCTTCCCAGAGACCCAGTTTATAGCCGTGACGGCCTACCAGAACGAGGAGGTATGCGCAGCGAGGAGGAAAGGATGCAAGTACCAGGAGGTTTCAAGTGGCAACCTGCATGTTGCAGAGCAAAATAATGGATCTCGTTTCACATTTTTCAGTTCTTTCCGGGCTTTCTTGAAATTAATATATGTAAAAGGCCTATGCATGTATAATAACACAAAGTTCTGATCACTGTTTGTCTCAAGATGTGCTGCAAATTTATTGCAGGGGAGTAATTCTTAAAAGATTCAGTGAGGCAAACAAGCATGTTAAGAAATACAGCTGGCATTTTCAGCTAAATAGTCAAATAACTGCACGTGCCATTTTCAAAAATGGCCTTTCTCTGACAGCCAAAATACACGCGCGTGTTTAACGAATCTGTAAATTACCAATCTTTTTGAGCTTTTTTTGATGCCCATTCTGCTCTGGCTTGAAATGTGAAGCTTTTCATAACTCTTTAGTGTACTAATTTTCTTAGCTGTTTCCTTAGCTGATCAGTAAACCCAAGTAATTCAGTCCCTTAGGATTTGGCAGAGGGAGTATTTCCTAGTCCTCTGCTAATACTTCAGACCTCAGCGGCTGCTTAATTGATGTTCGTAGGTCGGTATCATGGGCCTGATCTTATATCTTCAAAAATCTGCGATTTCTCTAACTTCAATGGATAGTCCTAATTCAAATCCTACCATCTGTATGATAATGAATGGTGATACTTGCAAATAAAGATATTTTTTGTTGTTTTTAGATCACAGCTTTAAAAATTAAATACAATCCGTTTGCAAAGGCATTTCTTGATGCAAAAGAAAGGTGAGAGCTCTTAACTCGCTTCTAAAGTGTGGATTTTTTACACACATTTGTAAAAGCATGTTCTTGACTAATGCAACACGGTTTCTTTTATAGAAGCGATCACAAAGATATGATGGAAGAAGTGGGAGACAACCAGCAGTCTGGGTATTCGCAGTGTACGTTTCCATTCATTCTGCATCATGAACGTAACTTCAATTTCTTCCATCTTACCTGTTAAGTTAAGCAAAACTTTGAGAGCAGTGTTTGCTGGCTGGCATGTTAGTTCACGGGGAGGATGATGTTGCCAATCCTAATGATTGTGGTTCGTGCAGGTTTATGATTGTATAAACATTGTGATCTCTGTGTGTGGGGTTAAGACATCTGTATTACATTCACAATCCTTTAATAGAATCTTGCAGTTACCTTCATGTCCAAAAAGACAGCCGTCTTTGTATACAAGGACAGCAATATTCGTGTGGATATGGAGACAAAAGTTTTTTCAAAATACAGCAGAAAATTATTGAAATGGTACTTATGTTTTAAGTACTTTAAGAAAACTAGGGGCATTTGCTTAAAAAGTTTTTCAGATGAATAAAAAGCATTAGTGTTTTAATTAGTTTTTTAAAAGATTATTACCAAAAAATGCCTGCAGCCTATAAAGGGGAAAAGTTGAGTTGCAGCCGGAATTATTTTGTTTCATTGGAAATACTTAATTTTTAAGAGTTCTTCTTAGCAGTCTGAGAAACCTCAGGGCTTCGATTGGGACCCCCAAAGAGCAATTTAAAACTGAAGATTACACTAGCGATTGCTGAGCACACACTACCTACGTAAGGGAGGGTTTAACCATTCCACTGTTTCCCTACTGTGATTGGAATTAAATGGTAATTTAAAAAATAACGGTAGCTTGACATGGGGCTTTTCCTAAGCTGTTTTCTAACTTTCTTTTTATTCATTTAAGAAAGTTGTAAAGACCCAGATTTTTCCGCCGTGCTGAAACTCCGTTTCCTTTCCCGAACGTGCATTTCCTCACCGATCCACGATTTCTCTCGCTGCTCTGTGATTCTTTCCCTGCCCGGCTGCATTCCCTACCCATCTTACAAACCTCTCGCTTCCCCACAGTAGGTAGTTGGCTCATTCCCGGGACTGGGACCCTGTGCCCACCTGCCAACCCTCACCCGCAGTTCGGAGCCCCCCTGTCGCTCTCCCCTGCTCACAGCTGCGAAAGGTACTCATCGCTGAGGAACCACCGTCCTGCCCCTTACCCCAACCCCTACGCCCATAGAAACAACTCGCCAAGTAAGTCTGACGTCGCAGCTCTGTAAAAAGATGGGAAATGAGCCGAGGGGCGCGAGCTCTGAGCGGTGGGCATCGCGAGCGATGCCACCGAAATTGAGGTCGCTGCCGAGCTGAGTGTGCGCAGGGGGCTCGGGGCCAGCGTTGCGAAGAAATAGGGATGAGGAGTGCGCCTCCCCGGTCTCTTTACGACGGAAAACCGGAAGGTGTGGAGAACTGTCTCCCGCTAATTGATTAGTTTGTATTATGCGGGCTTTGTTTCGAGCTCTTGAATTCTTGTAGCCAATGAGGTTAAACTTATTTTGTCTTTTTTTCAAGTTAAGTTTTAAAGCGAGGAGTTTAATTATTATTTAATTAGATAGGTAATAGAGTTTAATTATTATTTAATTATACAGCTAATACAATGAAATGAAGAAGTATATGTCTGGTTCTGTTAATAGTGTCACTTATTAACATATATTAAATGAGGGCCTGATTCTGGCTGTTTTATTTGCCTGGTGCTGTAGTTACCATCAGTGGATTATGGTTGTTCTCAATGAATGTGTCACAACTGGATACGCGGAAACAATGTGGAGCTGAGTAAAGTGCAGAGCAATTTAAAACTTGTGCTGAGAAATAGACAAATAGGTACTGAAGGGAGAGAAGAGACGGGCATTTTTAACAGTTTTATTATTATTATATTATTATTATTATTATTATTATTATTATTATTATTATTTTCCCTCTTCTGGCAAAGGGCTATTAACAATTTTTGCCCTTCAGCCTGCATGGATATTGGAGGTTCCCGTTTAAAAAAAATAAATATTTTGAATTGCTAAGTAATACACAGGCTCCCAGATGCAGCCTGGTCAATCTTATATGGAGCTTTTTAGATAATTTTAAAGCGGAAAACTAGCTTTCTGTGGACCTTTCTTGCATCTTGGAAATTTTATGCAAGTTTTGTGACTTGAAACAGAATAAAAGAACAAAACACCTCTGGCGTTCCTCCTTGTTCCTCAGTCCTTAATGAGGAACCTCTTCTCCTTCCCTTATCCAGCTGCCACAGTAACTTCTTTCTGGCTCTGGATGGCTGTATAGCCTTCCCTTTGTAGCTTCCTAGCGCCTCTACCAGCCAGGTTTGGGCACAAGTTGAGTGGTTTAAGCCACAGTCCAATCACTCCTGATGGTGCCTGAGGCAGACTTCAGAGCTCGTGGCAGCATGCTCAGCTCGAAACTGGGATGTGTGACCCGGTGATAACGCTTCTTATCCAGGGCTGCCAGACTGTTACAGCTAATGTAGGTGATGGAGATAAAGTGCCCTGGAAGAGTGATTGGGATAGTGTAAGGAAGGAGCCCACCTCTTCCCACTGACTGAATAAGGAAGCATGGGCTGAGTTAGCAGGTGGTTTGGAGGCAGCTTTTGGCCATAGATTCTTCACAGAAATAAGGCTTCGCAGTTGTAGGTTGAGTAACACGCCACATCAGCAGGGGCATGCCAGTGAAACGGTAAACTTGATACACCTGGTAGCTGACTTCATTTTTCTGTGTACATGTGTGAAGTCTGGGTTTTTTGCAAGGCAGTAATGGCGAGGGTGGTTTAAAGCTGTACGTTACATTTGAATACAAGATTGTAACTTGGTCTGATTCTAGCGTGTTTAAGTGCTTGCTTGTTTTCTCAGCAGCCTATGCCGATAACTCCTCTGCCTGCCTTTCCATGCTGCAGTCCCATGACAATTGGTCATCTCTAGGAGTTCCCGCACACACGACGATGCTGCCCATGAGTCACAGCACTGGCACAGCTACCAGCTCCAGGTAGGAGTCCATCCCTCAGCAGCCCTCAAATTGGTGTATCAATGCTTTCTAGGAAGAGAAGGCTGAAAAAGGAGGTAAAGAGTCACCAGCAAATTAGAAATCCTTATGGCCATATGCAACTCATTGGCTGTGTGTGTATGAGGGCACTGAGAAGGACTATTTACAAGGAAGAGATTGAAGAAACAGATGAAAACTATAATTTTTTTTTATGTTTTGGTTTTGGAAATGTAGATACTTGTGACAGCAATATTTGATAGATGAAGGATTGCAAAACACGTAGACAAATAGCCATTGAATTTGAGGGTGGTCTTTTAAGCTTCATCTCCATTTTCCTTTTAAGCAAAACGGTGTTTAAAAAGTTTATTTTTGATCTGTTTCATTTTAGCCAGTCACCGCTTTCCCATCCATCTCCACAAACCCTTGTTCTGCTACAAACAAAGGGGCAGCAAACAATAACCGTGGAGAGGCGGGAAACTGTTGGGGCAGTAATTCTTTACTTGAGCGTTGCTGCAGAAGCCAGCATAGCTTGGGGTTATACACTTGGTGAAAAACCTTTGCCATTTTGTGATCACATAAATCTATCTTTTCTCCTGGTTTTGCTTTTTGCCTTAATTAAACCTGTGGATCCTTTAGCAGAGATTTGGTTTACCATCAGTCCCTTGGAACTAAACTTGCAAATTTAAAGAAATACAGATAAGGTGGTAAAGCCTTCACTATTAACCACAGAGGGATGAGGCTTGGGCATCTTTCTTGGCAATTCAGATCTACCACTCTGTTTGTGGAAAGCATTTTTATTTGAACCATGCACATAGACACTTAGCTATTAATCAGAGTACCTACTACTACCCAGTATAAAATAACCGTATTACTGAATGTAAGTTTAGTCCTGAACTTACGTTAATGAAGTAAACAGGTCCTTCTAGCACTTCTTTCCATGTCTGGCCCCCAGGTTACATATTTGGAAAGTTACAAAGTCCACTGAGTTTCAGTTGCTGCACTAAGAGTTGTCCAGTAGATAAAACCAGTAGAAATGGAACTGTGGGACTTCAAGGAAGGCTTTTCTGCCTAGTTGTAAAGTAAGAAGAATATGATCTTTTTTTGCTAAACTGCTTGGAATTGATAGGTAGAAAGCACTGTGTAGTATTGCACAGCAGGACTGAACTTTTTCTTGTAGTATTTCTCTTGAATCAGCTTATTTCTTTTAATTCATATGTGGGGGTGTGTGTGTATACACATACCCAGAGGAGAGACTGGAGGCTGTAGTGTCTGAGAAGGCTTTTTTTCCCCTTTTAATCAGTCCTTTCTGTAGTATCTGTGCAATCTGCAGCGACCGATCTAGCTCTTCCCCTTCTACCATGAGATGATGAAGAAGGTGCTAGGAGGGCTGAATTGCTGTCTGGCGGCATCTGTCCCTCTCTAACTACAGAGGCACCCAGTGGGGATTAGGGCTTTTACAGACTCACGGCGATGGGTCCAAACCTGCCTGGGTGCAACAGCTGCTGTGTCCAGCCACCTCCATCAGGTGGCTTTCCCCTGAGGAGAGGGGAATGGCTCAGGAACCAGCTCTCAAAACTCTGCATTTTTCAGGCCAGCCTGGTCATTCCTCACTTTGGCTTAAAATTTGCGAGCGTACCCAGTGCTGGAACCTGCTGTCGGGGAAACGGCGAGGCTAGATTTATTCGTGGGGTGCCATGAACATGACCTCCTGCCTGGGGGTCCTTCCTACCTTGCAGTGGCTGGGAGCTTCCTAAAGAAGTTCAGAGTCTCCTGCAAACAAGCCCAGCTTGGGAGCCGTGTTGTGACCCGAGCCACTGCCAGCAGGCACCAGAGTCACTAATAACCTATTTTATTTATCACTTTCCCTCTTTCAGTCAGTATCCCAACTTATGGTCTGTGAGCAACAGCACCATCACACCGGTGTCTCAGTCGAGCGGGATGTCCAATGGCCTGAGCTCCCAGTTTTTACGTGGCTCTCCAGCGCACTACACTGCCCTTCCGCACGCGGTCACTGCCGCCTCCTCCGCATCCCCCCTGTACGACAGCGGGACACCCACGGACCTGCCCGACAGCCAGTACGATGCCTCCGCACATGCCAGGCTAGCATCCACGTGGACGCCTGTCACCCCCCCTTCCATGTAAAACCAGACCTTTGCCCATGAGACAGACTTTTTAGCTACTGAATTACTTTAAATGCTTAATCCTCAAGGAAGAGAAAAAGGAGACGTGACGTAAATTACGGACAAAGCATCTGCACTGCCTTGCATTGAGCATCTGCATTATACCTCTTATAGTGAACAGTGCATCGTTGACTTCATGTAGAGTTTACAAACCTGGTAAGCGTGCAATTCTGAGAGCAGATTCACTGCTTTTATTCTTCTTTTTTTTTTTTCTATTTTTAACTTTGATAGACCTAAATTTTAAAACTTTTGACTTACATCCCAAATTTCTCAGTGTTCTGATATATTCAGACCTGAAGTTTGGCATCGTTCTTATCTGGGCAACTTGCTTGAGTAAGTTACTCCTTATTGTTTTTCAGTTATTTTTTTTTTTATGGCAAACTTAGCTATAGTCATGAGAAGACTTTTATTAACTGTCTAGTTAGAAGCATTCTGAAACATGCACAAATGTAGCTGAGGAGTGAAGTTTTTGGAAAATCATGTGCACTAACACGTATTTGCCTTACAAATACGTTGTGTTCTTAACTGTATGCTTATTTCCTTGCTGCTGAATTAATGTCGAGACAATCTGCAAGAACTATATTCTTCCTAATAAACACAGTATTAATGTTTGGTCTAAATTGTTTTACCCAAAAAGACTCCTTTTAGAGGCAAGTTTGCTGTTTGTTCATATAGATTTCAAATACCTGTCAGCTTAGCTAAATATCTCATTTCAAATAGCCAGTGTCTAATAAGGAGCCCCATCCAAAACCTTTTTGAGCCATTGAAAAAACATCATTGTTTTTTTTTATGGCCTCTGGCTCAGGCCTTCAACGGAGGGAATTTAATACCTGGAGAATCATTGTAATTTATTTTATTTCAATATTGTACTCTGTTGATGTATATTTATTATTTGGTAAATTACAACTTTATTTCCTACATATTAAGATATGTAAATAATCCCTCAACCTATGGTGTACTCTCTTAAGACAATCATACGTGGGATATGTCACCCAATGGCACATGGAACAGCATGGATGTAAGTAGCTAACTTATTGTAAGAATAAAAGCTCTAGTTACCAATAATTTGGGGGAAAAGTGCAGAGATACTAAGCTTTGAAATACACTGCTGCTTAACTTGCTGGAAAGATCAGGTCTTGATAAAATACTTCCTTCAGGACTGATATTAAGTAATATGATCTAAACTTCTAATGCAGGCTGACCCAAAATATTGGCTTAAAGTGTGCCCTTGGACATGTCTCTTTCTCACAGACTCCGGCAAGTACACATCCTGACCAAAGTGAATTGTTTTGCTTAAGCCATAATAAATAACTTTTATAATGAAGTGCCTAATACAGTGAAGCAAAATTCTCTGTCAGGGAATTCCTTAAATAACTCATCGACCTGTGCTCACGTGCTACAGTGGCAGCTTTAAGACGGAAAAGCAAATATTTGCCACTATTTTGGTCTCTTTGGCACCCTATGGGCAGGTCCCTGGACCTAGAAAGACTTTGGCAGGGCTTTCTCCCTGCAGAAGGGTTTGTGTGCAAGTGCAGGCTGTGGGCTCTCGGAGGTGCTCCAGCAGGAGACCGCACCAGAAGCAGACGGCTGCGCAACCATGTTCTCTGTCAATATGTAAATATTGATTGAAGCGCTCCTATTTTATTGTGAAAGTAAATTGTGTAAATGATGTAAGTGCATTATTGTTTAGACTATTTTGTAGAAGTTAGCGCATATTTCATTGTGAGGTTGTTTTTTTTACTTGTATTTCGGAAGTATAATTTAAGTTGGGGGAAAAAAAAAAAGTAAAGATTCTTAAATAAACTCAATGCTTAATTTCCAGTTTGTGGGGGGTGGGGGGAAAAGTAAAACAAATGCACATCAGACCTATTGAACCTACAGTATGTTGACCTTCCACAGAGCGGTTTCATAAATGGTTCCTGCTGCGTAGCGGCTTCCAGCCGTGGGTGAAGGGTCAGAGAGTTCTTCATAAACAAATGAATGATTATCTAGTCATGAAGAACTTTAAAAGATCTCTTAAGATGCTATATCCTCTTCATCCACTTCTCCTCCCCCCACCCCCCTTTTTTTTTCCCCTTCTTCTTCTTTTTTCTCTCCTTTTGGTAAATCACTGCCTGAGCGGTGGTCAGGGCTGGGAGCTGCAACTGGCGTTGGGTGAAAGTGCTTTTCCTGCAGTGACCAGTTTGTAGGGTAAACGCTGGAGCTGGGTGCTAGACTGGCAGTGCTGTGTGCCACCTTGATAAACAGACTTTTAAGTGTGTTTCTCAATAAACCCCCAGTAATAAATCCCTAATTGCTGTCTGGTATACTCAGCTACTGAAGGAATCTATGCTGTAGGCTAATCTAGCACTCCAGTGTGTAGCTGAGGATGCCAAAATGTCACTTCTGAGAGCTGACAGGGCCAGTGTGGGAGGCCAGCGCATGCTGGGAGCCAGGGTTATGCTTTGCCCCAGAGCTATGCCCTCAAAGCAGACACGTCGAGGGAAGAGGATGGTAAGTCTGCCACACAGTGAAAGGGAAGGGGAGCAGTAAGGTGCTAGGTCCAGGGCTGCAAGATGTCCCTTTACACGGCCCCTGGCAGGCTGTCCACTCTGGGGATCTCTTTACTCCAGAGAGGCTCGTGTGGAGGACAGCCTACAGCTGCTGCCTAGCATGGAGGTCAACGATTTCTCAGGTTCTTGCAGAGCTTGTACTGAAGAAATGATTGCTGTGGACAAAACCGGTTTCTGCATCTGTTGATTTAGCTGGGGCTTGCCAAACTAACCTGCCTGCAGCTAGGGACAGCCTGCCGTGAAGCGGAGGAGCCCATTACCAATTTCCTGCCGTGACCTGATGGAGGCCTCCATGACACCGTTTTGATGCGCACTTAAAGCCGGCAGGAACTTTCCAATGCCTGGAAGACTGTGTGATACTGACCTGGGAGCTGAACTTTGGGTCCTGACAGAGTTCAGTTCTCAGGTGCAAGAAAACTGGTCTGTGTGGAGAGCAACCTTGACAACATCATGCCAGTAACTTCTCTGTGGGTCAATACTTGCATATGTGATTTAGGTCTTGGGCCAAAAGCAGATTACAATTAAGAGGTTTCTAAGCCTCAATAATAAGCACACACACAAGTCCTTCATAGATGTAGCATTGTACATCTCCAGGCAGCTCAGTGCTGGTATCAGACAGATCTTACCTAATATGCTTTTTTGGTGTGGGCTTTTTTTTTTCCTTCCCATACTTTCAAATTAAAGAAACTGAAACCTTTCATGCCATTGAATGCAAATTGCATGCGGCTTTAAAGCAGACTGAGCATTTCAACATGTATCTTTTCACACCTACTCTGCCACCATCTTCTTCCTGAATTGTGCTCTTTCTCTTACTGGGCTCATGTGGCCGAGCAGCCATCAGAGGTACCTCAGGCTCACCTTACAAATACTCTCAGTGATGTAGCTTCTGGAGGAGCTGGGCAGTCAGATCCAGATGACTATATAAATAAGTTGAATTTTGTGTGACTCATCTAGAGAGGCTTTTCTCACCCGTGGGCTTGTGACAGCAGCACCGGGCCACGCTCCCGCCCTGGCCGCCCGCCGGGTGCTCCTGGGGCTGATGGCAGAGGCGAGGCGGGGGCACAGACGTACCCGATGTTTCCGAATGCTGAGGAAGGCTGGTGTGAGACAGCTCACCTCGGCCGACCCGCTGGCACGCGAGGGTCTGCAGTTTCCCTGTACTGGCTCCACTGTGGCTCTTTGCTGCTCCTGTCACTGTGCCACATGCCAGAAAAATACCGGGGCTATAAACTACTGCAAGGCTGGGAGAGGTCCGAATGCTCACGGACTGAGCCAGCAGCAAAGGACCAGGTGTCCTGGTTCCGGCAGGGATGGGGTTAATTTTCCCAGGAGCCGGCAGGGGGCAGGTATTCCATACCACGTGAGCCATGCCCGGGCTATAAGAGGCGCTAGCCGGGGCGAGGAGAGCAGTTGCCACTCGGGGGTGGGCTGCGGCGGTGCGGGTACGGTTGGTGCGGCGGTACTGTAATCGCGTTTTCATCTTTTCCTTTTGCTCTTCTGTTAAATTGCATTCTTTTAACCCACGAGTTTTGCCCTGACGATTCCTTTTTCTACGGCTGGGGGAGTTGTGTGAGCGACTGTGTGGTTCTTTGTTGCTGGCTGAGGCCAAACCACAACACCAGGGGTCTTAGGAAACCTATATTGTTTACCATCTCAGCATGTCAATGCTTTTTTCCTTTCTTTATTTTCCTTTGGGTTCGGAAGAGTTGCTGGCCACAACAATCTCTGTAGACCTCTCAGCCCTATTGCACAGAAAAGTCTTGCTCTCTCTGCAAAAGCCATGCAAATACCCAGTCCTGCACAGGAGTAAAACATGAGACCGCGTATTCCCACACTTGCCTCCAGCCTGACTCTTCCCCATAGATGTCAATTAGATTTGCGAGTTAAGTGAAAGAATTCATATTAAGGCATTGTACCTTTGATGTCAGTAGTCCAAGCAGTTATAAAAAAAAAATTAAAACCCACACATATTCTTAAGTAGGTGTAAGGAAGACAATAAGCAGAAACGTGTATGTTTTTGAAATCACCCACAGACCCGCTCCAGTGGCTTAGGTCTGTGGAGAAAATGATTTCCTCTTCAGAGTCTGATTTTAGCTGTTCCTGGATTTCTGTGCCTTTGGAAACGGATAAATGAGGCAGCCAGTCTGAGTGATGCATGGTGCAGTTCTAGTATTTCTCATAGTGTTTAACAGCATCTTATAGATGCTTTTATTTCTGACAACATCAAAAATTCTTTGAAAAGATAAGAATAAACACAAATCCATGTCCTCCCACTGCACGCACCACTGTGATATCAAGGATCTAGACATTGTGGGCTTTAAAGCCCAAGGTTATATGACTGGATAGAGCAGTTGCTTTTGTAAACAGAGAAGCTGCAGGGCTTCGCAGGGATCTCCTCATGGAGCCACCA